GGTATGTAGCACCTGAACACATTCCGATTTGTGCAATTATAGCAGTTTACAGAGTGAGAAAGAGAAGAATATCACATACTGAGGTTTGATGTCTTTTTCATGGAGAACAAAAGAGGGTTGATTCTTTCACTTCAAGTTTAGCCTAACTATTGTGTAGGGGAGGAGGTTTAATGAATCATTGTTTAACTTTGATACTGCCAAGTATTTGACCATTAAATAGTCTGAAATGTGTACATAGCACTTCGGTGACAGACCCTTATTTAGCTGTGATTAATTGGCATTGAATAGTTATTTAATTACCTCGGAAGAAATCTAACAACAGTGTGTGTTCTGATTAAGTTATTTGATGTAAAAACAAACATAGGACTGCTGAAGAGAGCACGTCCCCCTTTTCAGCTTGCTACTGACACTGCACACCAGGTGGAAGTCTGAATGATTAAAATAGATACTATTCACCAATTTGGATGCTGTTGTAACATTGGCATACTTAGTTCTTGATTTTGCAGAAGGCTTTTTTTTGTTAGTAGTTTCCTGAAATAGATTTGGTATTTTCTTTTTGGTTTTGAAGCTGGGATAAGTGAAGGATGTAGGTATTAAGTGACTTAAAAATTTTTGCAAATTGGAAATACTGGACTAGATCTAAGAATTATTGTTTCCTGTTATGTATCTATATTTCAGAGATGCTTACTTAAGGAATTTGGAGGTTTTGGAAATGTGAAGTATTGTGGGAAGATGATGCTGATAGTGTGTAAGTTTAGGAGAGAGGTATTTAAAGTTTTGGAGAGAAAAATAATTTTTGGGGTGAGGGGCAAGTAAGTTGTGCAGCTTTTGCCCTTCTGGGGATACCATGTGCAGCAGTTTCTGTAGTATGAAAAACCGTCCTCAAAAGCTAGGTTTGCCAATCCTGGTAGAAACTGTAACCATAACTGTAAGCGTTTTGAGTCCTGACTTTTGTGTCTGGAATGTTTTGTCTTGCATGCTTAATGATGCATAAGCAAGCCACTGATTTACTGTGCTTCCAGTAAGTGGAAACAGTTGTTTCTCCATACCTTGTGAAATAGACCTCTCGTGTACTTGTAGACATCCTTATGAATGTAACAACTGCTCTGGATGCAATGCCATAATGGCTATGGGGCATTTTGTGGATATTTCCAAAGCATAGCACATTTGCTTGGAGGTGCATTGCTGTCTCTGCTGTATGGTGACGGAACTTGCTTGCTTTAGTGAGTTACCGTGGCTTCCTTCTGTGTACAACATGCCGAGTAAAATGCCAATTCCGTTATAGCCATGTGAACAGGATCTGAAATACATCTCCAGACTTCTGTTTTCTCTTGTACAGTCACCGAGGTAATAGAATTGAAAACCAGCCATGACAAAAATACGCTAAGGCTTGTGGCTTTGTTACTTGCTTTTAGCTGTAGAAGAGCACTGATGGTCACTGGATAAGCAGCAGCACAGTAGGGAGATGTGGTCCTGTTAGCAAGAAGCAAAGTATTTTCCTAGCCTTAATGACTTCAGGTGTCTTGTTCCAGAATTTCTGTGTGCAAACAATAAGTAGATTAGTTTTTCAGTAAGTAGAAAATTTTTTTTAAAATTATGTTCTGCTACCAGAGATTCACTTGAATGTTTATTTGGGAAGCAGATGATTATTGTTGCTGCTGTTTAAATTGCTTTAATTATATCAGGTGGACAGTTTTCAAGGTTTGTCTTTTTCATATACCATTTCTATTGCTCACTCAAATTTTAGTCAATGTCATTTTGCAGAATTACAGCATTTACATTTTGAAGAGGATTAGGCAGATTAAAAGATGTTTTCATGTTTTATTGATAACATCAGATTAATTTCCACTTTCCTAGTGGCAGCTCACAGCTCTGCCAAAACAGAAGCTGTAGAAACATTGTTACACTTAACAATTCCATAGGGTGATTGCAAAAAAATATAGTTTTGGCAGTTAATTAGCAGCATGATTACCAATGGGAACTGGAGCAGTTGGTGGTTAGTGGATACATGGAAGAGATAGTAAACCCATGGAATACCAAGGACCGCTCAGGTGGGCTAAGTTTTCTTTCATGGCCACGTTTCTGAACAGCTTCACCGGAAGAGGTACTGCTGTGGAGAACATTGCCACAGTCACTCGTAGTGTGCAGTCTGAAGGCAAGTATTCTGCAGCTCTCATTTTTATCTATGCCAGCTTTTGGGGTTAGATAGCACCAGAACATATCTGTATCATGCTTGCAGTCTAGAGCTCTCCCTATTGTGACACTGAAACTTTCTCAAGAAGTGGTTGGAGGTTGTCGCAGCCTCCTGCTCGTCTCTTCTCCCTGGTATACAGAATAGGGAATGGTTCAGAGCTGCGCCAGGGGAGGTTCAGACTGGACCCTAGGAAGCATTTCTTTATCAAGACAGTGGTCAAGCCCTGAAACAGGCTTCCTAGGGGGGTGGTTGATGCCCCAAGCCTGTCAATGTTTGGACAATGCCCTTAGTAACATGCTGTCACTTTTGGTCAGCCCTGAAATGGTCAGGCAGTTGGAGTGGACAATCCGTTTAGGTGTCTTCTTATATTCTGTTCTATCAGTTGCTGAATAAATCCAGAACCAAACCCCATACTCAAAATCTGCAGATTCCTCTGTGAGCAACCTGAACAGGTGAATCTTCACCAGAATCCTCAGGGGAGGGAAATGGCGGCTGAACTCAAAGATACTGCTGAAACTGAAATGACCAACAAGTTCAATCTCTTTCAACACCAAGCCCTTAAGGCCTTGTCCATATTGTGCAAAATGAGAGTAAGCACAGTGCTTTTACAGGGACAAGTTTGGATGCGCTCTTCCACGTGTAGGAGGAGGGAGATGGTGAAGGCATTGCTTGATTCCTCGAGGTGCCACATTGGCCTGACCTGTGCTATGGCCACAGAAAGTAGCCAGCCTGAGTGACCTTGCTGCCTCCTGGCAGTGTCACGTGGGATGGCCTTTGCGCAATAACTTCATACATAAGTCTGAAAATGCTACAGATAAAACTTATTTGGGGTTAAGAGGCAAAGGGTGATTCCCATGCTGAATTAAGGTGGGGTTTGCTTGCTATGGGAGTAATCCTTTGCCCTTGCATATGGCTTGTCATTGTTGGGACTCACAGCTTTTCATGGAGGGGCTTAGCACTGTCACCTCTCCTTGCTGTGCTCCTTGCTCTGTAAAATAAAGTGAAGTCACTCAGAAAACAAGTGACAAAGCTGTGAATAGATTTCTAATACCCTGAGCCCAATCTGTTATGCCATCTAGTTTCCCTTATCTGCCCCTCCTGGACAGCCCGCTAAGGAAAACCCTGTCAGAAGGAAGCATTTAACCTCTTTGAATGACTTTCTTTTTGTCAGTGAAGTCTTGGTTCATTTGAAAATAAGCTGGAATGTGATATTTAGGGATATTAAGAAGTATTAGCTACAGCATGTATGCAGCATGTGCTAGATCAGTCTTCTATGGCCAGTCTCCATGGAGGGGAATCAAGGGAAAAAGAAACTAAAAAAAAAAGAAATAGCCATGGACTTCCTTCTGATATATCTACTCTGATATGAAATAAGTGAAAGGAAACATCCCCACATGCCATTCCCAGTAGAAGGAGATGAGAGAGATTTTTCTGGGTCTTGCACTGCTGTATACCCTACCTCTCTATATACAAAGCCTAAAAATAGGATGAATTCTGCTGCTGTCTGCTTTAAGTAACTGCCTTTGGTAGTAGTAAAGTACTGCAGAATAAGCCGTTTGCCACCAGTATCTCTCTTTGGAGTCATGTCCCAGACCTGAGGAGAGGATTTTTTGTGTATTGTTTGGTGTAGAACAGAAATTCCCTTAAAAAAGAAATGAATACTATGCATCAAAATTCCTAATTCCAAGAGAGCTGTGGGCAGAAAACTAGCACAATGGTTGCTACAGAATTGACTTCAGTATCTCTTATCTCTAAATTATGTCTCTCCTGCACTCCATGGAAACTTTAAACTTAACTGCTTTCAGTTTAATGAGCTCCTTTGAAAAGGAGAAAAAAAAAAGTCTTTTGTTGCCAGTGTGGTGAATGTGTTTGTACCAGTTAGAAGTAATAATTGAATCAAGATATATGCAGATAAAAAAGCAATGTGAATACATGTATGGGCATTACACACCTTAGAAAAGGCCAGATTCCCATCCTTGCCTTAGTTTCTTTCTTGGTGAGTAGAGATATTGATTAATAGAGAAAGATACTAATCCACTTAGAGGTGGCAGCATTGTGACTTTAATTATTAAAGAAGTCTTGATAGAACTTGATTTTTTTCACTCCAGTAGAACTTGGGAGTATAGAGAAATATAAATGCTTCAGTGACAGCAGATTAAAAATCGTTTTATTAGCTTTAATAAAGATCATTATTGTCAAGCTTTTGAATAAGTATAAATGTTAGGCTACATGAATGCAAATCTATCTCAAATTTTATTTTAGAAACAGCTGCAATTGGAATCCACGTATAATAGTTGAGGGGTGATAAAGAAATGCTGAAAAAGATCAGTTAGATCAGCTATGATCTGTCTGAGACATGCATGCACTAGCGAGTTTCAGTCAAGGATAGGAACAGATTCTGACATGTTACTTGATGAAACTTGCATTGTTGTCTGGACTGTAACCTTTACCTACACATGTTGAGCATATAAAAAGCACGTGTGTTTCACCTGTTAAATCATGGTGACATCTTATCTTCACAGCCCATTTAAATTTTTTTCTAGCTATTTAAGTAAAGGTTTTGTATTTGGGTAAAAGGCATTTGTAAAAAGGGATTCTTCTTCAAAATATATTGCAGTGGTTTTAAGAGATTCCCGTCATGGTGATTTCAAAAATTGTCTTTTTATCTTTAGATTCCTGCTGTTTTCTTTTAACTGTTCCTGAAATGGTAAAACATGGTACGTTTAAGATATTTCGATCTTTTCAAGAATTATATTTACTTTCCCCTTTTTTTTTTTTTTTTTCTTCTCCAACCCTGTTTCTGTAGGAAGAATCTTAAATCGTTTCTCCAAAGATATTGGCCACCTGGATGACTTGCTTCCTTTGACGTTTTTGGACTTCATGCAGGTAATTCAGTTGCTAATGCCAAAGACTTCTGCACTGCATTCTGAATTTAGATTCCTGTATGCTTTGCTGAATATCAGCTATTTGTCACAGATGTAGCTGAGTTGAATGAAAGTACTTGTTTGTGAAAGAAAGGTGTGGTTGAAATTTAACATGTCAGTAAAAAGCTAACATGAGTAATAACTGGCAGGTAGGAGTGGCTATACACAACTTGCTATTATGTCAAGATTTTAGTTCATAGTAGCTACATGCTTGGTAAATTGCTCCTGATTTGCCTCCAAGCATTCTGGCAAGCTTATTGCTGTTATAAGAAATATGTCCATAGTAAAGAAACAATCAGCTCACTTGAAAAGATAGCACAGATTAACCTAATTACATGTCTACTTCCACAAAGAATCAAATGCTTACCACACCATTTTGGATTAAAATAGGTGTGGCTATTTACAAAGAAAAGATTAGTAGTAATAGGGTGACTGTAATAGCCTTAATAGGAACAAGTTAAATAAGTTGCTGCAGAAAAGAACGATGGACAAAGCATTGAGATTTTGATGATGATGAAATTATAATGGATTATATATGAAATCGTAATGTTTCTGTTGCAGTTGCTATTAATCCTCCTTGTAAAAAATTGCAGAAGGATAAATCTGCAAAATAATGATCGTACTGTTTGAAAATAACATGTATCGCAGAATACACGGAATCGTGGAGACTAGATAAAGAAAAGACATAGTGGGTTATCTGGATCCACTTAGTGGATCACATCTGTCATACTCTCAAGTCAGAAATGTTTCTTAAGGTGCTATTGCTAACTTTGCTTCATCTCTTCGAGATAGCTTATTCAGGATCTAAACCTTTTTTTTTACTTCTTTAAAAAATAAACCAAAGACATTTCAGGTTGAGCAGTTTAATCATGTTGTTCTTGCTGACCTCTTGAAAATAGGGGGAAAAAATATTCCAGTAAAAACACATCTTAAGATAAAGTCTTTTTCATAGTCTATTAAAGTTGTTGAAATTTTCAAGGCATTACACTACCACATGTCATTTTGGGGAAGAAGGGAACATGATGTATTTTACCTATCAATTAAAGCAGTTGGGGTTTTTTGTGAGTTAGGGAGTTGCTTATAGTGAATATTAGGATTTTTAGTTCATAGGCTTTTAAGGCCTTGCCAAATTCTTCCTGAAAGTGCAGTATAAACATCTTTCTGTAGAAACTACTAATTTTTTACTGTTTGTACAGATTGCAGATTTTCTTCAGTCTCATTAACTGTTTTATTAGGCAGAATCTCTGACTTGACTTCAACTCTCTAGAGACTGTACATATGTGCCTTTCTTTTTGACTGGAAGCTCAAGTTGTCCTGCAGTCCTTATCCTCTTCTCTTAGGATAGGGTTTAAGTCCATGACTTAGAATAGGGTTTACATCCACAAAGTCACACCCATCTCTTCTACATAGTGTCCTTGCCCACTGTACTAGAGAGGTTTGTATGTGCGTAGGTTCATCCCTTTTGCAGCAGACTGCACTGTGTATGTTTATACTACGTTCTACTCAAGACCAGAGTGTCCTGTGGGTCCTGTGATCTGGAGATAAAATGATTAACCATTTTCCTTAGTTCCGTGCACTTACAATAATGTGAGAGTTGTGTTGCAAGACCACTTGCATGGTGTTTTTATAGCAAGAATCTGAGTGGGTGTTTTGCGTGCCCTGGCATGTGGTTTAAAGGCATGTAGGGTTGTCTGAGGATGCAAAGTTTCCTGGGAAAATGTTACAGAGGTCTGCGAAGGCAGAGGGAACCAAAATTGGTGTGATCTTGTCCATACTTCTTTTTGGGAGCAGACCCTGAAGCAAACTGTTTTGAGAGCTGCACTGTCTTATTTTTGACAGAACAAACTGATTTGCTTCAAAAGAAAGCTCAGAAAAGTATCCAACGTGTATGCATGTCACGTACAAAGGATTGAATCTCCTACTAGCAGATTGGAAAACCTAGTTATTTTACCACTGTGTTTAGATACTTCAGGCAGTGTGTGCTTTCCAGAACGTAACTGGTCTGGAATGAAAGAGTGCAGGCTGTTTCTCTAGATGTGATTGTTTTCTTCTTTCAAGCTCCTACTGTAAACTGCATTTTGTAAACATATTCCTTCATGTTGATTAATATATGCGTTTCTTTTAAATAAGCTATTGAATTATTTGTCAAATTCTGAAGTTTGCTTTTAAGTGAAAAGTTTTCTGAAACATAAAGTAGATTTTACAAGTCCAGTACACTATTGAGAAGATACTGTGTTTTAAAGCTTGCTCATTCTATTTGGCATCAGAAGAGAAAACTTAGGGTCTTGCTGTTGATTAATAATGCATTGCTATACATAAGAAAAAAGCATTTCCTTCTTGGCAGGTTTTCTAAAACTTACTATTCTTGACCAGCAGGCTCGTTGGTTACTGAATGCCTTTTGAAATTCAATAGCAAAGGTGTATTTATTCCTGACGAAGCACAGATTTTTACAAAGGATAACTGTTATCAATTATGATAGAGATCTTTTGTCACTTGTTTTGTTTGCAGGTGTCTTTTATAAGGCTTCTTATAATCCCTTCAGGAAGAAATATATTCTCCTTTCTAAAAACAGTATTAGCTGAATATAAAAGCTCTGATCCCAGCCATTATTGTTGATTCTTTGAGAGACATTTCCCAACATTCATTGTTTAAATGGTTGTCAGGAGGAATCAAGTGAAACTTAATAAACAATGCAGTAACTGGTTCATCTTACTTTTTGTGTAGAGGCTTTTCTTGAGCGGATTTGCATTGAAGAAGTGGTCGTTTTTCAGAGTTATTGCTAGGATCATTGTGAAGCATTCCACCCTTTTACTGTATTGGCAACTGAGTGTATAATGTCAGCACAAATAAACACAATGTGATTGGACACCCAAAAACTACAGTTATAAGCCCATTTAAATACCAATAAATAAATAATACAATCTTCTAGTTTCAAGAATTTTGTAATTGCACCGAGTACAGATTTTTAAGCAATGCTAAAAATTGATAATATTCTTTTTGGAGTGCCTAATAAGATTTATACACTGCACTACAGCCATAATGAGCGTTATTAGTCTAGACAGCTATACTGGATGAAAATTAATTCCTAGAACTGAAAGACTTGAATTTTTTACATTGTCCAATGAGTCAAGGAGAGGAAAGAGTCAATTTTCTTCAAGATGTGGAGAGTCACTGTACATGTATTTGTTAAAGCCAAAATAAAAGGTACATGGCAAGCACAAAAGCACATCATAGACTTTGTGTATTCTTTTGAAAATCTGGTTAGATTTTACAGAACTGTTACTTTGCAATACCTCCCGAAGCAGCAACTCTCCCTGTGTTTAAAGTTTCCTGCCATCTTTTCTTTCTTTGGTTTGAAGTGGACCAAAATATAGCACGGAGACGGGAGGCAGGAGGGGCAGTCTTCACTCGAAGGAGAGAGCAATTTTTTTTCCTCTTACGAATTTTAACAGCATGTCAGACATTGCATATTAGTGCAATTGACTTGTCTCTTTGTGGAAATTTCTGCTGTATCCACAGGGTTTATAAATTAAAAATAAGTCTCTTATATGAGAACGTATTTACGGCTAAGTTTGACTACATGGCTGTTGAACAGAACTCTGTGGGTAGATGTGAAAAGAAACCAAAGGTTCAACTATCAAGATATCTTTAATTTTGTATTTACAGACCAGTTCAAAGCTCATTAAAGTAGAAAATAAACTTTACAGTCTGCAGTCTAAGCCTGGGCCTTATCTTTTGTAAAGGATTCTGACCATAAGGTTCCGTACTTGCTCTCCTAATAAATAAAATAGAAAGCAGTGCTGTGTTCGCGATGTCACTTGTCATTTCTACCAAGTATGGCACTAAATATGTTCGTAAAATCAAGTAGTGATTAATGTTTGTAGGTTGACTGAGATAGTAAAAAAGCTGAATGAACTTGTTTGGTGAAGATGGTGTGGGGGTTTTTTGTGAGCTTGCATGTTTTTAGTTAGTTAGCCTCCTTAGCCTCAGTTCTGCATTGTGCTTTCTTTATCTTAACCCAAGTTACAGATTCTGGCAGGTGTTTTCCACCTGAGTGGAATCTCCTCAGGTAAAGGATGACTTGTGTAAAGGCCATTACAGTGCTTTAAAACTTTGAAAGAAGGTTTAAACATCTACTTCCTTTAGATATATATACTTTATTTATTTATCTGTTAGTTGAATCAGTGACAGGCCTGACAGGAACCTCAAAGAGCTAACCAAATGCAAATAATTGCAGAAATGCTTTCTTTAGTTGGTATAAACTTGGTCATCCTATAATCAAGTCAAAGGGGACTTAAGGAAGTCAGGTGCTATTTAGGATGACAGGGATTTTGGTGCTTGATTTTCTTAGGCTTCTCTGAAAATACCTGCTGATTTTCTCAGTGTTATAACCAACTATTGTTCCTCCTCCTGCCTTAAACTCTGTGGGAGCAGAAGGTTCTGTTGAGGTGGACTTCACTGGTAGGTGTGGGATTTGCAGTTTAGAATTATAGAATGGTTTGGGTTGGAAGGGACCACCTAGTTCCAACTCCACCATCATGGGCAGAGTCACCTTCAACTAGACCAGGTTCCATAAAGCTTCGTCCAGCCTTGCCTTACTTACAAGGATGGAGCACATCCACAACTTCCCTGGGCAAAAAATATCATGATTAAAATGCACAGCAGTGTTTAGCTCAATGCAGCACAAATAAAACACAGTGCACTAATTGGGGAAAAGGTCAGCCAACGAATAGAATAAAACAATTTAATGATGGGGTATTAGGAGTTAAAATTCCAATATATTTAATAGTGTTTTATTCACATTAGCTCAGATATTCCTAAGTGACTAGTATTTTGGATGCTGTATTTTTGAGAGCTCGTCCAAAGCTTCTTTGTTAGTATCTGAATCTTAGATTGACTTGAAATAGATACGCAGTCTTAACGTCTTTAAACTGTGGTCTCAGGTGGTGCAGGATGGGTAC